CAGGTGTACACCCTGGATTCCGAGATGCACTGTGACAAAGTGGTTGCCATCTGCATGGATAGTGGAGGCAGTCTCGCTGGCAGCGTTCTGCACTCCCTCACCCTCCAGAGGGCCTTACCACACCACACATCCAGCAATAAACACGCCTGGCCCAAAGGAGTACCCGAAAAGCAGTTCTCTGGAAACCTAGAAAGTATTCCCAGTAACACACAGTTGTAAGATAAGTCCACAGTCCTAGGATAGACACAAAAGCCCGTTTAATCAAGAAAGAGACTCTGCCAACACACACTTTCAGGACTTGGAACCCCACCCCTTTGTTCCCATAGCTCCTATAGGCAGAAGCCCCCCGAGCCTGCACTGCTACATCCAGCACCTGCGCTGGGCTCATGTCTAGTTCGCAGGTTCCCAGTCGCCGGCCCCAGGCCACTCTGGTTCACTCAGAAGCCATGAGAGCAAGGTGGCTGACTGCAAGAACAATGGTTGCGATGGGTGGTTTCCTGATCTTTCCCTGAACTCACTCTCCCAGTAGGTAGAACTGCAGGAGCAGACAAGGGAATAGGGAAAGAGGCTCCAAAACAAAACAGTGAAAATGAAAATGCGCCCACACGACCCTCCAGGAGACGTCAGTCATGAAAGCGGCTACGTCACACATGGAAATCTGGGTCCAGACAGCTCAGAGACCACCAGCCACCCCAAATAGGCCAGTTAGTAAGGCAGCTGGGGAGCTCGGTCCCATGTGCTGGTCCTAAGTTTCCTGTCCATCCCAGGCTGTTTCTGACTGTTCCCAGGCCCCAAATGTGACCTTGGCCATCTAATTTGCCTGGCTAACTCTGACTCATCCTCCCATCCCAGACCAGCATCATCGCCCCAAGCGAGCAGCAGACTCCCTGCCACCAGGGCTGATCCAGGCGCCCTCCCATGGGTCCCACTGCACTCTGCCCGGACCTCCCCCCCTGCCCTGACCCTACTGTTCAAACTGTCTGTTAATGTTTGAGCTTTCTGCTCCCTAGACTGCAGCCTCCTCAAGGTCATGGGATCTATCATTATCTGCAGGCCTCTGGGTTCAAAGTCAGGCTTCAAAATTGACGATGTGTGTGCGACCTTGGATAACATCCCTGCTCTCCGCTTCACTCTCCTCCTCTGCCAGCTGGGGACAGCCACATATGTCTGTGCTGCAGGGCTGTGTGAGAACTGCATCTGCGATCCAAGCAAAGCCCTGATGATCAGGCACATGCATAGTGAGCATTAACCACCCCCTCCTCCGCATCCAGTGCCAAGCACACCTGACATGATACAATACCGGCGGGCACATTTCGTGCCATCAAGGAACTTTACTGTCTGGAACATGGCATCCAGCTTACATGCCTGCTCCTTAGAGAAAGCCTGTCTTCCAGTTCTACAGAACATCCAGAAAGCAAGCACTTTTAAATTCAGGTCTTGGATTATTTGTGGAGAAGAGCAAGGTGAAGACTCTTATCAGCAATAAGCCACCCTCCTCAAAGCCTCATTTCTCAACATTTCACCTTGGGAAAAAAGCTACTCTTCTCAAAGTTAAAATATTTTCTCTTAAAAACACACACACACACACACACACACACACACACACGCACACACACACAAAACCCTTACAAATGTTTGTGCTTGGTGAGTTGCCCTGCGATATTGATTCTCCTGGAAAAAAAAAAAAAAATGTGATCACACAGTACATTTTTATGTCTGGATCTTAGAAAACATTTAGACCAATGTCTCAGTTTTATCCTCAAAAAACTGAGGCCATCCAGGGAGGTTAAGATGCTGGCTCACGGTCAAACAGCTGGGTCAGGAAATTGTAAAAAGCTTTATTCTTCAGCCCCACTACCCAGCAGGTATGTAAGCGAAGGCTTCCATTTAATTTCTTCATCTCATTAAAAAAGGGTATTCATGTGTTTCAGTAATGCAGAAACAATGGAGAAAGGAGGCTGGTCTTGGAAATTATTATTTCTTAAAGAAAAGAAAAGCATCATCAACTTCATTTTTGGATCTCAAAGTTAAGAAATTCCCCAGAGAAAATAGGGAGAGTCCCTCTTCTTCAGCAGCATTCCATTCATTCCCTACCTCTTGGCTGCCTCTGAGATCCCACATCCTGGGAAGCTAGGGGTCCCTTGCTTGGCGGAGTGCCCTGGGAGCACCTGAGGGCTCGATACCATCTTGAGTGGTTCCAGACCACCCAACATGCAGGCAGTGGGCACAGCTCCATCCTCCATTGCAAGTGAGGTGTGAGAAAAGAGGACAGCAGACAGAACCAGAAAAGCTGATGCCAGGGCTGGACCAGCCACAGCCCTTCCTGTGGCCTGGGCTACCTGATCCCTCCTCTCCAAGCTACAAGGTTCCCATGGTTACGATGAGGCGGTCGTACTGGCAGATGAGTGCTGGCCCACCTGCTTCTGTGATTCTCAGTCTCCAAGGGCGAACTCTCTACCCATCTCTACACTCAGAGGGAAAGGCTTCCAGGGGCGGCAGAGAAATATGAACAAAAGCAGGCAGTGCGGCCACATGCTGGACCACAAGGGAAAATGTTCTGAGGCAGGCAACGTGGCTTGTAGCTCCTGGCCCCGCCGCTGCCTGCCAGAGCGGCACATCTGCCTCTAAACCTCAGCCACTTCAGATGAGCAGTGTGAGCTTCCTTCAAAGTTCCAAACCACACTGAATCCCCAGGAGATGTGACTTACTCTAGTAACAGTCTGGATACCGGGATTACCAACTAGCAAGCTCAGGGCACTGATATCTATTTATAAAATATATACATTTTACAACACTCTTTGAGTTCCCAAATCCTCACTGCACAGATGACCTGGGGGTGCCCTCGTCGTGCATTTGAGTTTGCCCTTCATTAGCTCCCCTTCCACAGCTGCTGACATTAGAATTGGGGCCTCATGCCACACTCAAATTATGCTGGGTCTGGAAAATTTCCATTTCCATCCCATTAAAATTGGGATATTTGCACCCATTTTCTCATGAGGTCCTCAATCCATGCACAACATTTGATGCCTGATGCAGGTGGAACACCATAGCCAGTGGGGGTCTGATTCTGAAGGCCACAGTAGGCACACTGCACCACGCCTTCTCTTCCACTTAACACCGCGGCAATCACCCTGAAGCAGGGCTCAGATCACTCTCCTTCTCCAAAACCATCAACGGCTCCCACTGACACAGAGTCAAACCCAAAATCTTGGCCTAGAAATCAAAGAGTTCACCATGTATCCTCATCTGACCTCTCCAGTCACATTTCCTTTGCATGCTTTAAAAATAAAAACAAAAATGTAACAGGCACTAGAAACATGCAAAAAACGAGGTTCCCTAACCTCAGTACTGGAGAAGAGAATACAATAAAAAAGGCTGTTGTCTGCTTTGGAGCTACTGGGGTGAATCCCTTGGGAAAGTTCACCGTGTCACATACCCTGTCCCTCCCCCTTCCTTTGCTGGGGCCGCTCTCTCGGGACAGAGGCCCATCCTGCCACCTGGGACCTGCCACCCCTGCAAGCTTTGACTCAGACACCCCCTCCCTTGCAAAGTCACCCTGACTCCCTCCCTTCTCTCGTGGGAACTCCCACAGCTCCACAGGCATCGATACCAACTTAGTTTCTTCCTGGCATTTCATTTACAAATGCATCCCACCTGCCAGGCTCAGCTCTCAACCCCAGGCCCATTCACTGGGGCATGTCCCGGTTCCACCTCCCAGGCCCCACTATGGAAGTGCTTTCTTCCAGGTCTCCACTCAGTGCAGGAGCCAGAACCCTCTCACCGCAGGGCGGCAGGGACCCACTGGATAGTTCCCTGGGGCCTTGTATCACTCCTCTGTTACCCAGCCTCGACCCCGCACGAGGCAAGCACATGACATTTGTTCAATGGATTTTCAAAATTATGATTCGCTAGAAAAAAGACAAGGAACTTTTGGAGTGGCCATCCTGAGACCTGCCTACGAAGACCACTCGGGTAAAGAAGTCACCCCTTCACCCCGGGACCAGGAAGTCTCCACGCTGACAGAGGCGACCAAACAGCCCGGAGCCAAGCAAGGTGCAGGGGACCAGGGGGCGGCAGCCGGGAGCTGGGGTGGGTAAGACCTGCAGGGAACGCCGGGGCTCGGGCGGCAGCTGATTCCCCGGGAATGGGCTCGCGGCGGGGACCGGGGCAGTGGCGGCCGCGGACCCGAGCGCAGGGGATGTACGGGGGCGTCCTCCTCGGCCGGTTCCAACCTTCCCTGCCGGTGGCCGCCCCGGGCGCCCGTCCTTTCCCAGACCTCGTCTGGGGCCAAGACTCCAGCCCCGGGGCCTGCGGGCGAGGCCCCGTATCCAGAAAGCCCTAGCCGCCAGCTCCCCCGCGGGACCCTGGCCCCGGGCGCCCTAATCCCGCGCCACAGCGCAGACCCGCGAGCGCGCAGGGCAGGCAGGGGCGCCAGGTCCCAAATTGGCCACCGCGCTGGGGCGCCGGCAACTGGGGCGAGAGGCAGGGCAGGGATCGGAGCAGGGGCAGGGGCAGGGGCAGGGGCAGGGGCAGGGGCAGGGGCAGGGGCAGGGGCCGGAAACGGGGCAGGGGCAGGGGCAGGGGCAGGGGCAGGGGCAGGGGCCGGAAACGGGGCAGGGGCAGGGGCAGGGGCAGGGGCAGGGCAGGGGCAGGGGCAGGGGCCGGGAACGGGGCAGGGGCAGGGCAGGGGCAGGGGCCAGGAACGGGGCAGGGGCAGGGGCAGGGGCAGGGGCAGGGGCAGGGGCCGGGAACGGGGCAGGGGCCGGGAACGGGGCAGGGGCAGGGGCAGGGCGGGCGTCCTCCGCACAGAGTCCGCGGGTGCCCGCCCCGGACGCTCCCCCCTCGCCCGCTGCCACCCAGGCGCCCCGGTAGGACCCAGCAGGGCAGGGCGGCCGCGATCGCCGAGCCCCGAGGCCGGCCCCGCAGCGCCGCGTCCCGCCCTCCCTCCCCGCGCCGCGGCCGGGGCGCCGCCGACACAAAGGGGACGCGCGTCACCTTACCTGGGCCCGCGCGGCCGGGGCTCCCGCTCGGCCGCGACGCGCGGCTCCGACGGCTCCGCCCGGTGCCGGCTGCGGGGTGCCGGGTGCCCGCCGTTTGCCGCCCGCGCCTCCCCGCGCCCGCGCAGCCCGCACGGCCCGCACGGCAGCGCCCGCCCTGCCGCCTCCCGCCTGCCCAGAGCCCGCGCGGGGAGGGGCGGCGGCGCGGGCGGGGCGCGAGCGCGCACGGAGGCTGGGCCCGCCCCTGCCCCGCCCCCGGCCCCGCCGCGGCCCCGCCCCCGCCGCGCCGCGCCGCACAGCGCCCCCTGCCGCCCGCCCGAGGCCCGGCCCCGCCCCGCAGCCCCCAGGCCAGGCCCCGGGACCACGCGGGGCTGCGGGGACAGCCCCGGCACGCTGATGTGAAACGCCACGCCTGCTTCAGGGGCCTCCAGAAGACACTCCCCTGATTCCCACACCGAGGGAACACACATCAGCGAGCTAGGAAAGAAGGGGTGAACCAACCCAACGCTGTAAACCGGGGCAAACCGGGGCGCGAACCGGCGTTGCGCTGTGCAGCTGCGCCCTGGGCTCCCTTCCCGCTCGGCCGCAGACCCTGCCGGAGCCAGCACCTGCCTCCCAGACAGACCCTAGCTGGGGCGGCTGTGGGATGAGCCCAGCGCCTTCCTGAGCCGAGCCACGCAAGGGGAGTCTGTTCATCCCACTGCCTGCTTGTCTTGAAGGATGGAGAAGCCAGGGCACCCCGGGTGGTCCCCAAAGCTGGATGGACATCTGGGATCCAAGCATAGCACTTTCTTTCTCTTCCTTAAGCTGTCTAGCTTGTTGGAATCTAAGATCTATCTGCGAAGGGACATATAGAATTCCTGTATCTTCTGCCACTCCTCGTTGAAGCTTCAAGTCACGCAACTGTTGAATTACATGTCAGATGTGCATATATGAACAAAACCTAGGACTGTGCATGAAATAACACCTTCTTTAATATGTAGATTCTCTTTTCTGCAGTATGGATCATCGTTTGTCCTTAATGGCATACCCTCCGCACTGCATGGTCCAAATTCAAGCTCTACCACCTACTAGCCATTAAGCAAGTTACTTAACGCCTTTGTGCTTCCATTTCCTTATGTGGAAAATGAGGTGGCAATAGTATGTATGAGTTCTTGGGAGGGATTAAAGAAATCAAATAGGCCGGGCACCGTGGCTTACACCCGTAAGCCCAACACGTTGGGAGGCCAAGGCAGGAGGATTGCCTTGAGCCCAGCAGATCAAGGCTGCAGTGAGCTGTGTTTGCATCACTGCACTCCAGTCTGGGCAACTGTGTGAGACTGTGTCCCTAAATAAATAGATAAATAGATAGTCAAATTAAATATAACTGGCAAACTAAAACAACTCCGTAGTCCTTATCTACAATTTGTCTCATTTCTCCAAAGAATTAAATCAGGTGATTCTTAACTAACTCAAAGCTCTGCATAATTTATATTCTGCTACACATGCATCTTTGTAGTAAAATAAATCTGCCTTCTCTGGATTGAGAAGTTATTCTGGTAAATATTTGCCCTCTCCAAAGATATGAACGAGCACTTGCCTTCTAATGCCTGAGTTTCAGATTCTTTTTAGAAATGTCGTTATTCAAGAAAAATGCACAACGAGAAGAATCTTAACAACAGCACTTTGTTACTGCAGCCTCTCACTGGAAGATGGAAATAGTTCTGCATACAGGCCTGAGCTTTATGAAAAATTTATTCACACCTCCTGTGTCCGGGTTGGGATACCAGAGAAGGTCCTGGCTGAGTACTACTTATGAATGAAGGATTCAGGGAATGTACGGGTGGGTGACTGCAAATGCACAAGAAGTGGACTATGTACCCCACAATAAAGCAGTCCAGATTGGGATGCAGGCATTCCCGTGACACACAGAGGCCTAGCAGTCAAGTTGGGGAATGCATAGAAGCGTCTGGGGCTGCAGGAAGAGAGTTAAGGTGCAAAACCGCCCTGACCCAACTGAGACTTGTAAGTGCTCGTGTGGTAACACATGTGACTTCATTCCCATGCTCTGTCTTTGTGAATGCAGTCATTGTTGGAGAGATAATGAGAGGGGACACAGGCGTTGCAAGTACAGTTTGCAGCAGGCCGCAAAGGGCACTCAGAGGCAGTTTTCTCTGCGAAGACTTCCCAGCCTATCATGGCATGCCCCATCCCCAGATCTCTGATCTCTGAGCTGATGTAATACTTGGTCTTTGTCTATGTTGAGTAGCATCTGTCACACTTCATGTCTGTGGCCATGACTCTCTGATTCTTAGATCTTAAGATTCTAGAGAACAGCATTTTTCCTTTTTGGGCATTTTTGTTTTGTTTCGTTTTGTGAGACAGAGTCTCTCTCTGTTGCCCAGGCTGGAGAGCAGTGTTGCGATCTCAGCTCACTGCAACCTCCGCCTTCCAGGTTCAAGCAATTCTTCTACCTCAGCTTCTTGAGTAGCTGCGACTACAGGTGCACACCACCACGCCCGGCTAATTTTTGTATTTTTAGTAGAAATGGGGTTTCACGATATTGGCCAGGCTGGTATCAAACTCCTGACCTCATGATCCACCTGCCTCGGCTTCCCAAAGTGCTGGGATTGCAGATGTGAGCCACCGTGCACAGCCGAGAACAGTATTTTTCTACATAGTCCCTCTTAGGGCTTGAACATAATAAGCACTCAATAAACACTGAGTGAAATCCTTTCCTCTGAGCTATGCCTCTGAGCAGCCACCCTAGGTCTCTCCAACAACAAGGTAGTGGGGTCTCTCAAGTTCACTTCCACCTGTGACTGTCAATTTTCAGTCCAGCCCCCTACTCAGGTCTGGCTGGCCCATCTCCCCCAGAGGGCTGCCCCATAAAGCCCATTGTAAAGGACACTCATTGTTGCCAAGCATTTGTGCCAATGCCGTGTGACTCACCCTTCACTCATTGAACACTCACTGCCTGATTACCTAGATGGGCAAAGTTCTCTGCTCATGGGAAGCAGGCCGAACGCTGCAGCCAACCAGCCAGAGGCTGGGAAAGCAGACAGCCGTTCTGACGCTTCTCTTCTTGACACAAAATCAAGGGATGCTCAAGACCCACACGTGAATTTTTTTTTTTAATTAGACAATGCACTTTGTGTGAATTTGTAATCACACATTCCGTAAATATAGAAATTCAAATTTTTTTATTTTTAAAATTAACAAATTCAATACCTTGTTCTCCAGAATAGCAGGAAATTAAGTGTCAGTTTGTGTTCTGTCTCTCCCTCTTTTTAGAGACACGTGAATCTGGGGGATGTTATGGTTCTGCGAATGTGGAATGCAACCTCTCATCTTCAGCCCATCTGTGCTGCTGACTGTCTCATCCCAGAAGCCATGGCTTCTCTCAGAAGCAGACTGCACGAGGCTTCCCTGCCAAGACACAGTCCCCGGTTAGCCATGCAGCCTTCCCCAGGGAATGCCAAGGAACAGGAGAGAGTTCCCACTACTCTCCGGGTCTTCTTGGGAAAGCCTCTGATATGGTTGGGCTGTGCCTCCACCTGAATCTCTTCTTGAATTGTAGCTTCCACCATTCTCACGTGTCATGGGAAGGACCCGGTGGGAGGTAACTGACTCATGGGGTGGGGCTTTCCTGTGCTGTTCTCGTGACAGTGAATAAGTCTCATGAGAGCTGATGGTTTTATAAAAGGGCGTTCCCCTGCACACGCTCTCTCTCGCCTGCCGTGACTTTGCTCCTCCTCACCTTCTGCTGTGATGGTGAGACCTCCCCAGTCATGTGAAACTGTGAGTCCATTAAACCTCTTTTTCTTTACAAATTACCCAGTCCCAGGTTTGTCCTTATTGGCAACATGAAAACAGACTAATACAGCTTCCTTGTCTGCACTCTTTCCCTCCTCTCCTCAAAAAGCACCCTCTCTTTCTTTTTCAACCTTGAAATCTCAAGTAATCTCTGCAATGGGTATAGCACCCACGTAAGACAGGATGCAGAGGTGTCTTCAAACAGCTTCAAACAAAACCTCAAGAAAGAAAGTGCAAGTGAGGAAGAAAATTCATCCTTCCAGTCACTTAACACTGCACTGTCATGGACTTACTGTGTCCCCCTAAAATTCATATGTTGAAGTTTTAAGTTCCAGTACCCCAGAATGTGACCATCTTTGGAACTAGGGTCATTGCCGATAGAATTAGTTAAGATGAGGTCATACTGAGTGGGCTCTAATCCAATATGACTGGTGTCCCTATTTAAGGGGAGATTTGGACACAGACTCACACAAGGAGAACACCATCTGAACCTGAAGCCAAAGATCGGGGTGATGCTTCTACGAGCCAAGAAACACCAAAGACGACCAGCACAGCACCAGCAGCTGGAGGAGGAGCCTGGACCAGAGTCTCCCTCACAGCCTACAAAAGGAAGCAATCCTGCCGAAGCTTTGACCTGGACTTCTAGCCCCCCGTGATGGTTGATGTTAAGTGTCAACTTGACTTGGTTAAAGGATGCCCAGTTAGCTAGCAGGACTATTTCTATCTGGGTCTCTCAGAGTGTTTCTGGGCAAGATCAGCATTTGAATCCTTAGACAGAGTAGAGAAGATGTGCCCTCACCCATGTGCATCATCCAATCTCTGGAGAGCCCGAACAAAGAGGAGGAAGGGCACATATATTCCCTCTGTTCCAGCTGGCACATCCATCTTTTCCTGCCGCCTGACTTCACAGCTCCTGGTTGGGCCTCAGGATTCCTCAGGATTCCAGCCTTACATGAGAGCACACTTCTCCCTCCCCACCCCACCCCTAGGTTCTCAGCCCTTTGGCCTCTGACTGATTTCCACCACCAGCTTTTCGGAGTCTCCAGCTTGCAGACAGCAGATCATGGGACTTCTTGGCCTCCATAATCATGGTGAGCCAATTCCAATAATAAATTTCCTATCTATCTATCTATCTATCTATCTATCTATCTATCTATCTAATTATGTATCCATCTATCTCTATCCTATTGATTCTGTGTCTGAAGAACCCTAGTACACCTCCAGAACTGTGAGACAATAAATTTCTGTGGTTTAATCCACCCAGAAGGTGGTACTTTGATTCACCAGACCTAGCAAACTAATACAGGCACGTGGAAGGTGTCTACTCCTGCCTACAATTTA